AGGGCCACCGTAAAAAGGGTGGTAAAATTAGTGAATAATGGTTTGACGGGTGTGACTGGTGACGGCCAGGTGTGTGCCAGGGGAAATACCCGTGTGTTAACCTCGCTCATGGGCTAGATTTAAGGGAGTGACCTCTAATGTGTATACACGTAATGTTTAGAAAGTTAAATCGTCTGTGAATGGTAAGTAATCAGTGATAATAACATTGATTAAGAGAAGCGGATGTGAAAAAGATCGCCCTGCTCCGAGTGAACTGGCCTCGTACCGGGATAAGAAGCTTTATGGAATCACACTTCTAACCGGGGCAAAAAACCGACGGATACCTCTCCCCCGGGAAAAAGAACCGTGTCGGTGTAGCAGGGCCGAAATGAGATGGGGGAAAGGAGGAAATAAGGATACAATACCCACAGTTTAAATAACCCTTCAGTTATAGCAGAGTGCGGGGGGAGTTAGGGGATGTTGTAATTGGATAGGTTTTTTGAGGACCAGCTACATCAAGTGCACCAGAGAACATCTGGAAGTGGTGGGATTAGTACAAATGTTTTCCCTTAGGTGATCCATGTGTATCCCAACCCCCCCCCCTTCATTCAGCTAATAATATAACTAAACAGTCCCAATTAATTAGTAGCGCCGGCTTGAGGTTCTACCCAAATTTTTCTGGTCTGGATAGATGTGGAAAATTTTGGGGGGGAGGGGCCACCTGTAGTGACCCGGTGGGTTTTAATTTTCTCACATGTCTACACGGGGGGGATACGATAAAAAATATGGTTTTCTCCCAATGAATTACTTTTTGTTATAATGTGGGTAAAACAGAAAACCCTATAAAATTTTCCACCCAAACTGAAAAATATGTACTGTGCCAAAAAAAAAGCATTCACTTTCTAAATCACAAATAGATTTAGTACTTACCATAATACCAAAATTTCTCTAATTGTAAAATTTTACAATTAAAAAAAAAACTAATCTTTGAAAGCCTAGCCACGCAAAAGTTCTGGGGTAAGATAAATAAAATAAATAAAATTTGTTGGATTTTTAACCCCGGGGTTAGCCCCCCAGGAAACCCCAAGAAAGGGAAGTGCGTCATCGAGGACTGTCAAAAAAAAAAAAAAAAAAAAAAATAAAAAAAAGGAAAAAAAAAAAAAAAAAAAAAAAAAAAAAAAAAAAAAAAAAAAACCCCCCCTTAAAAATTTCCAAGGGGTCTTAATCTTTTTCCAGAAACCACCAAAAACCAAATTTTTGAAAACAACAGTAACTTTTGGTTTTTATTTAAAAAGGGGGGAAAACAGGTGAAAAAAAAACGTGTTTGAAATGGGGTTTTCCACGGCGGGAAAAAAAACCCCCCCTCCTTTTGGGGAAGGGGCTTTCCACCGCCCCGGCTCAGTATCACCCCTTTTTACCCCCCCATCTGGGCCCCCCCCTTTTACATTTCCGGGAATTCATCTTGGTTAATCTTGGGGTTTAACCTTTGTTGGGAGAAAAGAAAAATTTAAAGAGGGTTTACCCCCGGATAAAAAAAGTCAGAGTCATCGAAGACTGTCTAACTTATTTCCATTGGGGTCCTTAATCTTGTCTCCCAGGATGCAACCCACACCAGTCGACTAACACCCGGGTGAACAGGGAAAAAGCCTGGAACTAGTGTTCATATTGGTGAAATTTAAAGCCAGCAAGGTTGGTTTGAGAGATTTAAGAATCGTAGGGGCATACACAGTGGTGATAAGGCCTGTTCTGGAAGAAAATGCCAAAAAGGACCTACAGTACTCAAAGGAAAAGGCACTCCCAGGACACAGTGTCTCATCAGTCTTGGGCTGAAACTTCAATAAAGGTAAGTGTAAATTTATTCTTCATTTAGTAGAGTATTACATGCACAATATATATTGTGCATGTACTACTCTACTATTGTGCATGTATCCTTCTCTTTGTGTGTAGGAAAATGTATATTTCATGTGGTAAATTTTTTTTTTTCATACTTTTGGGTGTCTTGCACGGATTAATTTGATTCCATTATTTTTTATGGGGAAAATTCATTCGCATACCGATCATTTCGCATAACAATGAGCCCTCTTGCACGGATTAAAGTCGCTATGTGGGGGTCCACTGTACATTAATACGTACAAACTTTTAGCCAGCCTTGGCTTATCAAAATTATTATACAAATTAATATAAATCCTTGCCAGAAAATTTTTCATAGCAAAATAATATTATACACATTAATATAATTAGCAACACCTGGCTTATCAATTACACATACACTGATATAAATCTTGGCCAGAATTGTCTTATCAAATTAATAATTATACAAATTAATATAAACTTAGCCAGACTGACTTATCAAATTAATATTGTATAATTTATAAATCACTAAAAAAAACAAAAAAAATAAATTTGTGAACTTAACATCCACCTCCTTCTTGTCATTTCACTATAATTATTTAAGTAATTAACCAATTAATGACTTCACTAATTACACCCGGTTCGAAGGACCAATGGGCAAATTAAATGCAGAAAATTGCATTTACTTGGATGTATTGTTATATACATAACAGTAAATGAACATTGATAATTATTATTTATCAGTTAGACAAGTAGGAATTTGGGACACCTAGGTCGCAAAAAATGTCCCCCTTCAATACCTACCACTGTCATATCCACAAGTTGCTCTGGACCTATTAATTAAATGAAATATACATACACCAGGAATACTGGTAATATATAAATTTGTGGACTGTATATTAAAATTAAAAAAGGATTATATATACACACATTTACATTACAGAAGGAAAATATATCTTAATATCACTCACCAATTTGACTGGAGATTAATGTGTGTCATACTCAGAAAACCTCAGTCTAACTAAATCTATGAAAATAATGCTGGCCAGAATTATACACAAATCTAGAGAGCTTTTCTGAGGTTCCTGGAGCTGTCTTGTCCAGTCGTCTGATATCTCAAGTTATGCAGAAATGCATGTCCAACAATTTCGCCTCCTATTTGAGACGTGTCAGCCCAATTTCAACCTCTAGAGCACGAAAATTCCTTCCCATCACACCAACGTTGTTCACAATTCAAAAATAAGATGACGAGTCTCCTCCTGCGCAGGCGCAGGCTCAGTTTCCCATTTTCCATCACATAAATTTTATTAAATACAATATAGGCCATCTATTTATCTATAAATTACCGAATTTCCGGAAAATATATACAGTATTTTCCACAATAATGGGGAAGCGCTTGGGGAGGGAGGGGATGGAAGGCATTCATTCTTAATTTAGAGAACTGGAACACAGATCCAATTCCCTAGATGAATAGTCCCTCACTACGTATGTACTATTACTACTGCTACTACTACTAGCAATAATAATAATAATAATAATAATAATAATAATAATAATAATAATAATAATACAAAATAATAGTAATAATATGCAATAACAGTAAGGAGAAATTCAGAAGGCTGCCAGTAGTTGGCGCCACGATCTGCAAAACACTGGTAACCACTACCATTCTTCACGTGTCTAGAAGTAAGTAGTCTGTAAGCATTAGGTTAAGTCTGCCCGAAATGCCTTGGCATGATAGTGGCTTTATTTGCTCCAATCTTATTGGATCACTACGACAAGGTCCTAAATGCACTAGAAGACAAAAAGAATACAGATGTAATATATACAGACTTTGCAAAAGCCTTCAACAAGTGTGACCATGGCATAATAGCGCACAAAATGTGTGCTAAAGGAATAACAGGAAAAGTTGGTCGATGGATCTATAATTTCCTCACAAACAGAACACAAAGAGTAGTAGTCAACAGAGTAAAGTCCGAGGCAGCTACGGTGAAAAGCTGTTCCACAAGGCACAGTACTCACTCCCAGCTTGTTCCTCATCCTCATATCCGACATAGACAAGGATGTCAGCCACAGCACCGTGTCTTCCTTTGCAGATGACACCGAATCTGCATGACAGTGTCTTCCATTGCAGACACTGCAAGGCTCCAGGCGGACATCAACCAAATCTTTCAGTGGGCTGCAGAAAACAATATGAAGTTCAACGATGAGAAATTTCAATTACTCAGATATGGTAAACATGAGGAAATTAAATCTTCATCAGAGTACAAAACAAATTCTGGCCACAAAATAGAGCGAAACACCAACGTCAAAGACCTGGGAGTGATCATGTCAGAGGATCTCACCTTCAAGGACCATAACATTGTATCAATCGCATCTTCTAGAAAAATGACAGGATGGATAATGAGAACCTTCAAAACTAGGGAGGCCAAGCCCATGATGACACTCTTCAGGTCACTTGTTCTATCTAGGCTGGAATATTGCTGCACATTAACAGCACCTTTCAAGGCAGGTGAAATTGCTGACCTAGAAAATGTACAGAGAACCTTCACGGCGCGCATAACGGAGATAAAACACCTCAATTACTGGGAGCGCTTGAGGTTCCTAAACCTGTATTCCCTGGAACGCAGGCAGGAGAGATACATGATTATATACACCTGAAAAATCCTAGAGGGACTAGTACCGAACTTGCACACGAAAATTACTCACCACGAAAGCAAAAGACTTGGCAGACGATGCAACATCCCCCCAATGAAAAGCAGGGGTGTCACTAGCACGTTAAGAGACCATACAATAAGTGTCAGGGGCCCAAGACTGTTCAACTGCCTTCCAGCATACATAAGGGGGATTACCAACAGACCCCTGGCAGTCTTCAAACTGGCACTGGACAAGCACCTAAAGTCAGTTCCTGACCAGCCGGGCTGTGGCTCGTACGTTGGTTTGCGTGCAGCCAGCAGCAACAGCCTGGTTGATCAGGCTCTGATCCACCAGGAGGCCTGGTCACAGACCGGGCCGCGGGGGCGTTGACCCCCGGAACTCTCTCCAGGTAAACTCCAGGTATATGTAGACACATATTGTAACTTTTGCAAAGAAATAAATAGTTTATTTATTTATTTAATTAAAGAACCTCCCTTGAGGGGGAAGTTCGCATCCTGAAATTTCGTTTGCAGCCAGAAGTAAACAGTCGACCAAACGACGGTTTGTATCCTGAAAAGTTCGCATGGTGGGGCGTTCGTAAGCCGAGGTTCGTTTGCACTCTGTAATTTTGTATATAAATGAAGTATGAAGCCTATTCCTTATGTACTATTATATTTTTTCTCTTTCCATTCTTGATTTATCATGAAATTGACATAAACAAATTAATTAATAAACTGTACTATAATGCCCATTGAAATTGTATGTTACGTATTATCATACTCCCATTACACAAATCCTTAACTATGATATTATATAACAATAACAAAATTATATTTTACCAGAACTGGCAGTGGCTGGTGGGAGTAGTAGCTGTAGTTACATCATGGTTGAACGTGTTACTAATGACAAGTGCCTTTCTGATGACAAATGTCTTCCTAATGACAAGAAGTGTCTCCCTGAGGACAAGAATTTTACGCTTTTGTAGCTCATCCTTCTTCCAAGTCATCCACCTCCTTCGTACTCTTTTCTGGATTACTTTTCCTCTAGTAGTCATAGGAACACTGATATACATTATCATACAATAGGCAATCAAAGGAGAAATTGCTTATAATCATGTCTGGGACAGTGTAATTCAAGTCATTTCTCAACCGTGGGTTGGCACAGCAATATATGTTGCACTAACTATAGTTATCTGGTTTGAAATGTTTGATAAGAAAATTAAAAAAAAAAAAAAAGTACATGGATAGTCAGTCTACTTTTATTGTAGAAATAATACTGAATATTGACGTTCTGTATCCATACTTGAGGAAGAAGTTTTACGTATTTTGGATACTCAAACATGCAAAGAAAAACTTACGTTTGCCACTTCAGAGAAACAAGGATGAGGAAGAACTAAGCGAAACGGAAAGTGACAGTGAAGTTCTATATAATATTAAAGGAAAATTTGAAAAACTTCAACAAGATATCGAAAAACGGAACTTACAAGATGAAGAAGATAACATTAAAGGGGAAATTAAAACCATTCAGGAAGATATAAAAGAACTGAAAATACTGTTACAAGATATAAAAAAAAATACCGACAAAAAAAACTGAATAATGTGAAATTTCTGTATATAAACTTTAAATATCCTGACACTCCTGGTATTGTGTTGTAGTAACTAATTAACTTGAAGTTTTAACTCTGGATGTTTATTAGAGATATTAGTTTCCCAAACAATATACCCGATAATGTAATATGATTTGTATATTATATATTTGCCTTACATTGTTACTGTGAAAAATTATGAGCAGGTAAAACACATTGACTCGTGTACTGAAAGCAATTGTCGGACGCTTTTATTTTTATTTTTATAATAGGCCACAACAACGAGTAGATAAAATAAAAAGAAAATAAGAGCTATTATCTAATATCTCATGTGTTAAATGTGGAAAATTACATTTATCTGGATGTAACTCATAATGTACATACCAGTAAATGATAACAAAGATAATTATTATTTATCAAAGTTACATAGACAAGTAGGAATTTGGGACACCTAGGTCGCAAAAATGTCCCCCTTCGATACCTACCACTGTCATATCCACAAGTTGCACTAGACCTATTAATTACAAATGAAATATGCATCACCAGGAATTCTGGTAAATATATAAGTTTGTGGACTGTATATTAAAATTAATAAATGATTATATATATATAACATTTTCTATAAAAGGAGGAGAATATATCTTAATATCACTCACCAATTTGACTGGAGATTAATGTGTATCATACTCAAAAACCTCATTCTAACCAAATTTATGAAGATAATGCTGGCCAGAATTAAAACACAAATTTAGATAGCTTATCTGAGGTTCCTGGAGCTGTCCTGTCCAGTCGTCTGATATCTCAAGTTAATGCAGGACTGCACATCCAACAATTTCGGCTCCTATTTGAGAGGTGTCAACCCAATTTAACCTCTAGAGTGACGAAAATTCTTCGATTATTCACTAACGTTTCTTGTTCAATTCAAACAACAATGGCGAGTCTCCTCTGCGCAGGCGCAGAATTTCCCATTGTTTATAACGTAAATTTTATTAAATACAATGTACTACACTAATTTACATAAAAAATACACTGTATTTTTTCCGGAAAATACATTACTTTACTCAATGGACTTCCCATACATTTAAGGAGTGCATTTATCGTCACTTGAAGTAGGAACGGACTGGATGTAGCACCAAATAATACGCTCCTAAAGCGAAAGGTTTTCAGAGGGCTAAGTGGGTCAATAGGATTCTCAGGCCATAAGAAGCAGGTACAATCCCGGTCAGCCTCTTGTAAACCCACTCTTAGGAAAGCTTTACTTATGTCTGCCGTAAAGGCATAATTCTTCACTCTGAAATTTAATAAGATATCTCCTAATTTTTCTGTCAACGACGGACCTGTCATCAAACAGTCATTTAAACTAGGTACATTTTTATTACTCCTGGCACTACAATTAAATGCAATTCTCAGAGGAGTGGTCTTAGAATCATTCTTCACTCTGTGATGTGGCAAATAGCGACCATAAATTTTGGCTTGCTCAAGAGGTACCTTTTTTAAAATTTTTATTAATTAACTCTCAGCAATTATATCATTACAGGCAGTTAACAATTCTGGTGTCTTACTCAGTTCGTGGAGCTGAGCCTTTAATTGTCCATATGCCATTTGTAATTAGGGGGGCAATTCTGGATGGTTCAGTCTCCACGGAAGTCGTACCCAGTATTGTCCAGATTCAAATTTTACATCTCTCAGGTATTGTTCCTGAGTAAAAGAATCTTCTGAACTTTCTTCATTTACATTTTTTCCAATGCTGTCTAATTCCCACAATTTATGCTCTGGCTCAACACCATCCTCTATGGAAGAATTATACTGGGGTACGATTTCATGAGTAAGACACACAGTTATGGTATTAGTAGTTTCTTCTAGTCATGCATTATTATTACGAGGAATCCTACCATACATTACATGGCCTCCTGCAGTCTTCAAAAGGGGTGACACCACATTTCTTTACCATACCCTTTACAAAGGAGGCATAATAGTCACTATCAAAATATTTATTGGGTCTACAGAATCATCTACACCAGAAGGTACTAAATTTACATTATGTGAAAGTCTTTCTGTAGCTTTACTAAGCCCTACTGTAGATATTTTCTCTGGAAGTCTATCTACAATTACTGCATTAACACGTTTTTTTTCATTGCCCAACCTGACAGTTACATAAAGAGTGTCATACAATTGAGCTCTTTTATCTGAGAGAAAACCAGATAATTTTAGAGTTGTAGGATCTCCCATCTGTACTTTCATACCATCAAGACATTTACATTTTATGAAAGTATGCTGGGATCCCTGGTCTAATAATGCATTTACATTTTTTTATTTATGCCTTTTATCATCAATTTTTACCTGTAACACAGGTAAGGCTACTTCAGCAAAACCATCATTATTAACATTAGCAGCAATTTTTACATTAGCTACTTTTGTTTCAGGATTGTCAACATTATCATATAGACCCTTACACATGACTATATGGTGTCTTCCTTTGTGAAAATTGATAACAGTTGTTTAATTTGGCATGACAATCCTTTACCTTGTGATTACCTAAACACCTGATACATCTGTCAAGTTTCTCCAATCTTTCAACTTTATCATTCCATGAATTGTATGCACTGCAATTCTTAGAAAAATGAGTACCCTTGCAGAAAAGACAATCTCTCTTTTCTTTGACTGGTTTCTTATTAACTGGGCTACCCTTAGGAGGGTACTTATTCTTCTTACCTTGTGGAGAATCATTATTTCTGTTTTCCTGCTACTTGATATGCACCTATGCAACTCTTTTTAGGAAATTAATTTTGATTATTAAACATTGGGATAATTTTCCCTTTGTGAAACTTGACAGATACCTCAGAGTTATTATGTGTTGCATCTTTAAAATGAGTTGGTTGGCTGGTCTGCAAACTGAAAAATTAATTCTTGTGACCTAGTCTTATTTCCTCCAGACCAAAAACCCTTGTCATACTTGTTCAAGAGTCATTCAAGTGTTTTACAGCTTAATTTATTCTGTACTAGGCACTCAATAACCAGTCTGATTCCTTCAGATTATATTATTACTTAAAGTTTTGAGAGTGCTCTCCAGTTTAACTCTAAACTGCTGTAAACCTTTGTAAGTGTGATCTGGAGTTTTTAAAATTAACAATGATATCCACTAGATCCAACCAACTTTGTTCATATTCCCAAATAAGTGACTTTCAACAAGTCAACTGCTTCCTTGTAAGAATCATCTACATTGGGAAAGGCTTGTATGAGTATGTGAGCATCTCCCCTAATCTGTTCTTTGAGGTAAATAATTTAGTTACAAGGCTAGATCACTCCTATCATGCACAGCTGCTTTAAAAATTGACCAAAAAATCCTCCCAATTTTCTCCAGGATTAAATACAGGCAAACATAATTCCCGGAGTTTTGGCAAAGACATCTTATTTGTTGGAGCAGATTGATTAACTGCCTGGTTTACACATTTTAATTTATTCAAGGCCTGACTTTTACAAGAAAGAATCTTTTCCTCTAATTCATAATACTGATTAATCATAAGATCTACTTCAGTCTCATCTACGCAGTTTACTAATAAATCTCCTTCATATTTGTTGTAATATAATTTGTATGAATCATATCTATTCCCCAAAGCATCTAAATACAATTTTAAATCATCAGTATTCACAGTTTCCTGGTTACATGACTTGGTTACATGACCTTTTCTAGCCTGTAGTGATGCTTTCTTTGCTCTATATTCCATATGTTTGTCTTCTATATTAATTTCCTCATTTTCAGCCATGATGCAATGTATGAAATTCAACGTAATTAATAACACTGATTATGTACTATATTATGCACATTATAAAGGTAAACAGTACAACTTACCTTTGAATAAATCCTAGCTACACTTGAGCTTTGCAATTACGTGTAAGAAAATTATAATATAAATTTTAAATGTACATTAATACAAACCTTTAGCCAGACTTGGCTTATCAAAATTAATATTAAACAAATTAACATAAATCCTTGCCAGAATTTGGCACAGCAAAATTAATATTATACACATTAATATAATCTTGCAAGGAGGGAAGAGTTTATGGAGAAAAAGAGAGAGGTTAAGAGAGTGGTGAAGCAATGTAAAAAGAGAGCAAATGAGAGAGTGGGTGAGATGTTATCAACAAATTTTGTTGAAAATAAGAAAAAGTTTTGGAGTGAGATTAACAAGTTAAGAAAGCCTAGAGAACAAATGGATTTGTCAGTTAAAAATAGGAGAGGAGAGTTATTAAATGGAGAGTTAGAGGTATTGGGAAGATGGAGGGAATAAATTTTGAGGAATTGTTAAATGTTGATGAAGATAGGGAAGCTGTGATTTTCGTGTATAGGAAAAAGGGGGAATAACATCTTGTAGGAGTGAGGAAGAGCCAGTTGTGAGTGTGGGGGAAGTTCGTGAGGCAGTAGGTAAAATGAAAGGGGGTAAGGCAGCGGGGTTGATTGGATAAAGGTAGAAATGTTTAAAAGCAGGTGGGGATATAGTTTTGGAGTGGTTGGTGCAATTATTTAAAAATGTATGGGAAAAGGGTAAGGTACCTAGGGATTGGCAGAGAGCATGCATAGTTCCTTTGTATAAAGGCAAGGGGATAAAAAGAGAGTGCAAAAATTATAGGGGGATAAGTCTGCTGAGTATACCTGGTAAAGTTATGGTAGAGTTATTATTGAAAGAATT